ATGGGTCAGTGAGGGGCATCATGTCTCATAGTGGGGCTGGCCATGTGGTCCTCTCTGTGGACTAGCTGCTCTAATTGAGGTCATCGTCCTTAAGGCCTGGTGGGCCAGGAACTCTTTTTTTACAGCCTAAAAGGAACTCAAAACCAAAAGGAAACTCATTGCCTTTCAGTCTTTCCTGACCCTGTGGTGGGGGGTAGTGTAGAACTGCCCTTATGGGGGTCCATACTGTACTTTACAGAGGAGAAACCTTCATTCTCCCGAGAGCAAGGTTAGCATTCCAACACACAGCCACCTGGAAACCGCAGAGGAATGAGTTGGCTTGAAAAGTGCTCCTGATAGACCACTCCAGCTTTCACCTCTCAGGGCAACTTTGAGGCTCTCTGGTCATTCTTTGTGGGGTGTGACTGGCCCATTCTCAGGGGGAAAATGACCACAGAAGAATGTTGATTCTCAGTGCTTATGCAAAGCTATGGAAGTGATGGCTCCTCACTTTATAAATTACTTCAGTCCTATGCTTATGGATTTAGTGCCCTACATGTTACAACGTATTAGTAACATGTTCACTTGCAGATATTTGATTTTTTTAAAGATGCTGGTTACAAAAGGCAATGATAATGAAAACTTTCAAAAAGATAAATGCTTTGAAAATTGCCTATAAAATGATGTTATCGGGTTTTAGAATATAAGGCTATGATCATGGCTTAGAAGGTCCTATGTAGGATAAGGAGTAGAGAAGTGGTCTGAATTGTCATGTTGTGTAACTGCGTTGCACAGGCTTTCTTTGTTCAAAGTATGTGTGTTAGGCCGGGTTAACTAGAGAAATCCAGTGACATTCATGTATGTAAGAGAGAGCTTCATAGTGAGAAATAGCTGCATATCAAGCAAAGCTCCCAGCAGTCTATAAGTCCAATATTAGTCCATAAGGCCCCCTTCAGACTCACGCAGCCACATGCAACGTTACAGAATGCAGGAAGATCATAGGCTGGTGGGTGCAAAGTTGTATGGACCCAATGGTGGTGGCCGCATCACAAAGCTCCCAGCAACCAGGGTCGCAACCAGCAGGAAGGTGGAAGGCAGAGAGAGAGAAAATATATATGGTTCCGAGAACCCTCCTTATGAGAAGGCCATGCCCACAAGGAGTCACCATCAGGGCGTGATATCTTCAAGACGACATGAAATTATGTAACGACCATAGTACGAGACCTGTCTGAGTACTTTAGTAACAGCTGACTTAGCCCTCAAAAAATTTCTGCTCTTGAGTAAAAGCCTGTGTATGCCAAATCAGTTGACTGCTCCCTCTCCCTTGTCGTCATTCTACAGTGCTCCCAGGTTAGGCGGGTGTGCTTGGTTTCCTCTTCACTCCTTGTGCCTTTGTCTGGGAGAAATTTGTATTGTATTCCACCTTTTGATGGAAGGGCCAAAAGTTTTTTCAGTCCATCATTATATCTGGTTTTCTGTTTCAAATTTCTGTGCCCAGAAAGTTCAGTTTTCAAAGACACTCATTTGTTTGCATGTATTTTCTTACATTTAGGTATAATTAAAAAGTGACCCTCCTTTCAAAGATGTCAAAAACAAACAAATCCAAGTCTGGATCACGCTCTTCTCGTTCAAGATCTGGATCAAGATCTCGTTCTCGTTCATTTTCAAAGTCTCGGTCCCGGAGTCGATCTGTGTCTCGTTCAAGGAAGCGGAGGCTGAGGTAAGAGTGCTGTTCTGTATTGCATCCGGCAATAAAGGTCTCCAGGCTTTTTGTTAGGCTCTTTCTGGGAGTGTCATATGGATTGGGAGTTGGCTTGAATTGAAGGTAGACTGTTGGGCTGAGATCCCAGATCTCTTCACACTCAATAAATTTAAACCAGCTTTTGATTACCATACTTCTGCCTACTTCCTTTTCTCCTCTGCACCTCTGCACCTCAGCACCTCTTATTTCCCATCTACTTTAGAAGGAGCACTTTATTTTAGCTCCTTGCTTCAGATCGCTACACCCGATCCCTTTTCACTGGAGCATTTCTGTAGGCTTGGACAAGTGTTATTTGCATTAGCAGCGAAAAAAGGATAGTTACAAAGATTGGTGTGGTTACCATTGGAAAGGAGAGAAATCTTCACCTCAAAAAGGATTGAACTTTAGAAAACCTATCAGGAGTTATATGTATACACTAAATGTGCTAATTACTAAACAGCTGCATCTATTTTGTAAAACACTTTAAAAATACCTAGAAATCTCTGTTTTAGACATCACATCTTAACTACATGTGAAAATAATTTTGAATTTATTGCCGATATGCTCTAATTTAAGTTAGTTTCCACACCTTTCGTGGATTTCCCTTATTTCAGTTATATCTTGAGGTAGGATATTATACCTCCAGCATTGTCTTTTGTTATGTTGTGAGTTGTATTTTTAATTCAGTTGTTTTAATTTTCATTTGTGGATAGATTAAAAATCTTTCAGTAGATAGGAATTTCTTGTGTGATTTTGGTTTATGTGGTTGAATTTAGGTACTGGTTGGGGGAATGATTTCTTAGGTTTGCTACTTGAAACCCCTTCCGTTTCAGTAGAGCATCCAGAATCCTTTTCCAAGATAAATGGATAAAGTAAATCACAGGAAAAGACCCCTCTTAAGTTTATATTCTTTGTTTCTATAATCCATTAAACAAGTGGCCAGTGGGTTTTTCCCCTGCCAACAGGGAAGCTTCCCTGAAAAATAATTTTAAACCAGAGGTTGAACAAAAATTAGCTGAAAACACAGGGAATCCAGGACAGATAAACCCCCTCAGGACCACTATTGAGAGTAGCCATACTAGGAAGGTAAGGGGAAGGTGGGTGGAGAAAAGGGGAACCGATCACAATGATCTATCTATGACCCTCTCTCAGAGGGATAGACAACAGAAAAGAAGTAGGTAAAGGGAGACACCGGTCAGTGTAAGACATGAAAATGTAATAATAATTTATAAATTATCAAGGGTTCATGAGGGAGGGAAGGGTATGGGAGGGAGGGGGAAATGAGCTGATACCAAGGGTTCAAGTAGAAAGAAAATGTTTTGAAAATGATGGCAACAAATGTACAAAGTGCTTGACACAGTGGGTGGATGTATAGATTGTGATGAGTTGTTGTACGAGACCCCGGTAAAATGGTTTATTAAAAAAAAGAGGTTAGCTGTGTGTATTGTAGGAGTTAGAAATGTTTTGAGTCTTTCCCTTAAAACTTCATAAAAGTACGTACATACTGATGTGTTTTATATATACACATATAAGTATATAAATATATCTCTAGGTAGCTTTTAAACTAACATTACATTTTGAGGATACCCAGTCCTAGTTTTTCTTTCTTTTTTTAAAACAGTCCTAGTTTTTCTCTCTGTCACATATGTTTGGGCATACATTTTTATACTAAGCTTGATTCAAGCGTTATGCTAGAGCCTATCTGTTGCCCATTGGTGTCTGATGCCATATAAGAAAAGCTCCATCTTCTCATATCCCCCAAAAGAATGGGAAAACATTACTAAATATTTTCATGTCTATCTCAAGAAATTGCACTGAAGGCCACTGAGCTGAACAGAGGATTCAGTAACTCCTACCCAATAAATGGGCACTAGATAATTTGCCCAAAACTAGGGGACAAAGTTGAATGGACACAAACTTAATTGAAAAATGTTAGCGAACTCTGAAATATTTGTGACTACCTCAACGTCGGGCAGATCTGTTTGGACAGGTCTTTTCTCTTTGTTCTGCAAATCATTTGGCGTAGTCTTTGGCTCTGAAAGGAGGGGGAAGATCTTAGGCTGGCACTATGTGCTGAGATAGGCTTAGAGTTGTGTGCTATCTGTATCCAGGAGTTTGTATTTTTGGAGGTTTCTCCAGTAGAAAACCTGCTCTTGAGCCTAGTCTGACGTCTCTTGTTTTTTAGCAACATAAATTTGCCACTGAATATCCCATTCTTATTTCTGGTTTATCTGTTTCATGCTCCCCCTCCCCCTTTTGTTTTCCCTCTCCCACAAAGTATACTATCCAGGAGTTTGAGTCACTGTGCCTTTAAATTAACAAGCTGCTGAGTTATACAGATTTGGAGAAAATTGATTTTTTCCTTGTGTTTCACAGACTGTATCGTCTTAAGTGACTTCTTATTAAATAACTGCATTTGCAATCTGCAGAGACTCACATCCCTGCGTGTGTGCATTGACTGCGGGTTTGGATTCAGTATGCCACAGGGCGCTCACTTCACTAGTAATGGGTAACAGACGCAGCAGCAGCAGCCCCTGAGGATGGGAACATGAATTAAACCCTCTTTAGTGCTGGTGGTGGACCACCTCCTTCAAGTGTAGCCTTTTAATCTGGTCATGCTCAGGCTCATAGCTGCATCTGCCTTTCCTTTCTTCTTCCCTTTTATTGTTGTTACTGTTTGCGAATGAAAAGCGTGGAAGGTAAGTTCTTTTTCAATTGTACTTCTGTAGCAACCTATGTGCCAGTTGCTATTCTTGAGGTAGAAAAGAATTCTGAGCACAAAAGAAAGATAATAGATGGTGGGAAAATGAATCCTCCTGTAGATAAAATGGCATTTAAGTGTCTCTTTAAAAGTATTTTGTAAAGTTGTTAAACTAGTACATTTGCTAAAGGGGATTGTTGTTACTTATTTTTTATAAACAAGAGTGCATCTGTACTGTTCAGACCTGATAAGAGATTTGCCGATTAAGAGATTGCTTTTTTTTAATTCTAGATGTAAAGAATATATTTTTGAATGGAATGTTCTAGTAAGTTTTACATAGTTCTACTCAACTCATTAAGGAATAATAATTAATGTACATGACAAGTTGCTGAGTTGTATCCAAGAACCCGAGTGGCTATTTATTTGCACCAACAAATGAAGGTTTTGACTTTTGGTTAGAAACAAAACTCTGGTGTTGATAGAGCCTGGCACCAGGGACATGCTCTGACAAAGTGGTTCTAGAAATGTTCCTTGGCTAAATTACACTTCTACATTTTTCAATGAAGAGGAATACCATACTAGGCCTCAGGCTGACTTGGAAAAAATTGTGTTTGGGGTTATGGGGTGGAGGTGTAGGATGCTGTTTCTAGAGTTGTTAGCCCTGGTGGGGAAGTGGGTTATGCAGTGGACTGCTTAACAGCAAGGTCAGCAGCTTGAAACCATGAGTGGTTGGAGAAAGATGAGGCTCTACTCCCCTAAACAATCACCGTCTCAGAAGCTCCCAAGGGCAGTTTTACTGTTGTTTGAGTCAATTACAGTGTGAGAGGAGCCCTTATGGCGTAATGGGTTATGCTTTGGGCTGTTCACTGGTAAAGATCAGTAGTTTGAACCCATCAGCTGCTCTGTGGGAGAAAGATGAAGTTTTCTGTTTCTATAAAGATTTATAAGCTTGGGAACCTGTAGGAGCAGGTCTTTGTTGCTATAGAGTAGCCACAAGTTAGAGTTGACGCAGACTCATTTAGTATTGCGTTTGGCTGGTTTTTTCTTAGAGCTCACCCTCCTGTATTTGGGTGCCTTGTGGTCAAATAGTGCCCTCTTGTGGCAATTAGGTAAGATGATGGAGCTCAGTCTGGAAATTTGACACTAAATGACAAAACCATTTCCAAGTCCCCAGTAAAACACAATGTTTATGTTTTGCTGATTTGATTTTTGTACATTTGCTTATGCGTTGAATGGATGCATTTCCCAAGTCCCTATTTAAATGTTATTTGCTATAGGCTGTTGTTAACTATACTTATACATCACTTGATCTGAGTAGGCACAAAGATATCAGTCTTGCGCAAACAGGTCTATGAGATGGGGAGTGAAATATTGTAGCAGTCTAGGAGTCAAAAGACCGGAGTAGTTTTACCTGTCTAGCTGGCATTTTATCCTTACTTCCAAGGACCTAGAGAGCAGTGAAAGCTCACTATAATAAAATGTCTTTGTTTAGTTTACAATGTTAAGAAAACTGTCATGCCCTTTTAGTCACCTTAGAGAGGCATCTCCTCTTTAAATGTAGGCAAATTCAGGGTCCTACTGTTAATTAGTATTATTGTAATCCTTGCTTTGGAAACAAAACTTTAAAAAATGAGTGATAGAGGAAATAGGATGGGTTGCAATGTTGCTTTATTTGCAGGTTTTCTTGAGTAAGCATTCTTGGGTTAAACATTCAACTCTGTCTCCCTCTCCCTCCCCTTTCTTTCAGTTCTAGGTCCCGTTCCAGGTCATACTCTCCAGCCCATAACAGGGAGCGCAACCACCCCAGAGTGTATCAGAATCGTGATTTCCGAGGCCACAACCGAGGATATCGAAGGCCCTACTACTTCCGTGGGCGCAACAGAGGCTTTTACCCCTGGGGCCAGTATAACCGAGGTGGCTATGGAAACTACCGCTCCAATTGGCAGAATTACCGGCAAGCCTACAGCCCTCGTCGGGGCCGGTCCCGATCCCGGTCCCCAAAGAGAAGGTCCCCTTCACCCCGGTCCAGGAGCCACTCTAGAAACTCCGACAAGTCTTCCTCTGACAGGTCAAGGCGCTCCTCATCCTCTCGTTCTTCCTCCAACCACAGCCGAGTGGAATCTTCTAAGCGCAAGTCTGCGAAGGAGAAAAAGTCCTCTTCTAAGGATAGTCGGCCATCCCAGGCTGCTGGGGATAGCCAGGGTGATGAGACAAAGGAGCAGACATTCTCTGGAGGCGCTTCTCAAGATGCAAAGGGATCAGAGGGGTCGAAGCCCTGGTCAGATGCCCCTTACGGCTCTGGGTCGGCATCAAGGGCCTCGGCTGTTTCTGACCTGAGCCCCAGGGAGCGAAGCCCTGCTCTCAAGAGCCCTCTTCAGTCTGTGGTGGTCAGGCGCCGGTCACCCCGTCCTAGCCCTGTGCCAAAGCCTAGCCCTCCACTCTCCAACACATCCCAGATGGGCTCAACGTTGTCAAGTGGTGCTGGATATCAGGCAGGGACTCACCAAGGGCAATTCGACCATAGCTCAGGATCCTTGAGTCCATCCAAAAAGAGCCCTGTGGGTAAGAGTCCGCCGAGCACTGGCTCCACATACGGCTTGTCTCAGAAGGAGGAGATGGCTGCTTCAGGAGGAGCAGCGTATACCAAGAGGCAAGTATCTGGTGTCCCCTGCCCACTGGTGCTTCTCTCGCACCGGCTGGCACTTTAATTGTAGTGGGATCTAAGTTAGAGCTCTGATTAATGGTAATAAGGTAATTCTCGTTTCCTAAACTTTTCATTAACAGACTGTAAAAGCGCCATCCAAGGAAACCTTTAGCTTAACTCTAGCTTTCCTACCTTCCTGAATTTGTATTGCAGCATAAAGTTTCTTTAGACTACTCTACAATGATGTTTTCCCATTAAAATTTGCCTTGGATTCTACCAATGTAAGCCAGAGAGCAGTATAGATTTGTGGGTCCACAGCTATCAAAAACAAACTATTGCCAAAACGAGTGGCCATTGGAGCTGTTGGACCCTCTAGGACCCACCATCTGCTGTGATCGATCCACACCAGCCTGCCGTGGGGAAGAGCTGCACTCTCACAGCCTACAGTTGAGGAGACTGGGCAGAATGGGAAAAACCAAGGCTTAGTCCAGGAAGGCCTTGTCTTAATAACCACAAGATGGGTGTATGTCCCAGTGGAAGCCAGCGGGCTGCATGTTAGGAGAGAACATGCCAGTGCTTCCTTCATACCAGTCTTTCTGCCCCGGGGACACGGTGAGTTGGACCATGAATCTTTTGTATTGGGATGACGGAGAGCTTATAGGAAAGTTGTAATAGAACCAACCAGCTTGTGATCAAGAGGAACTGGCACTGGCCAATTGGTTTTTCTCTCTCCCCTGCCCCCTAATTATTAAAGTCTTTGATGGCTTACTGTCCTTTGATAGTAATGTTTTTGTTGCCTTACCAATGCAGTTATAACTTGATTAAGCATCCTCAGGCATTAATGTTAGAAATGCTCAGAATCTACTCCCCTGTAAGTACAAGTTGGGTTCCTTGCCAGAACAGCCCCCTCATTAGAAGACGTAAGCTTTTCTATAGGGAACAGTATGGTGATTTCGGCCCCTCCTGTTAACCTGCCTTTTTTTTTTTTTTTTTTTGTGTTCACAGTACATTTTATACTTAGATCTTCTAGGTGACTTGCATCAGATTTGAAGTCTCTCTTGAGACTTATGTTTCCAAATGTGTGTTGTATAAAAGCAAAACAATCCAAGGTTGATCATTCTATGTTAACTTTGCTGAAAGCAGATTTTAAGTGACTGAGTGAAGTTGTTGGGTAAGACCGTAATTTTTCTTCCCCTAGACCACATTACAGGTAAGCAGGTTCATTTTTTGGGGGTATCCTAACAACGCCCCTTTTGTTGCATATGTACAGAACTCCATGGATTGTGTTTTTCTCTTAAGAAACCTGTAGATCTGTTTAGATTTTAGATTGGTTTCTCAGCAATTAGCACTATCAGAGAGTAAGGAAATAAAGTCCTTTGATAACACGAATCCATACAAGCGGTTCTGAGCGTCACGACCAGCTGCTTTAGAGCATGTTGCTTAAGAAGCCTCTTGTGTGTCTCCCTTGTGTTCTTGTAACCAGATATCTAGATGACCAGAAGACTGAGAATGGAAAAGATAAGGAGCAGAAACAAACAAATATTGATAAAGAGAAGATGAAAGAAAAAGGGAGCTTCTCCGACGTAGGCTTGGGTGATTCAAAAATGAAATCTGATGCATTTGCTCCCAGGAGTGATGCTGAGAAGTCCTTCCGGGGCAGCCAGTCTCCTAAAAGGTATAAGTTGCGAGATGATTTTGAAAAGAAGATGGCAGACTTCCACAAGGACGACCTGGATGACCAAGATAAGGAAAAAGCTAAAGGAAGGAAGGAATCTGAGTTTGATGATGAGCCCAAATTTATGTCCAAAATCATAGCAGGCGCAAACAAAAACCAGGAGGAGGAGAAGTCGGGCAAATGGGAGGGCCTGGTGTACTCCTCTTCAGGGAAGGACAAGCAGAGGAAAACAGAGGAGCTGGACGAGGAGTCCTTCTCAGAGAGATCCAGAAAGGAGGACCGAGGAGGGTCCAAGAGAAGCGAGGGGGGGCACAGAGGGTTTGTGCCTGAAAAGAATTTCCGAGTGACCGCATACAAAGCAGTTCATGAGAAAAGCTCATCACCTCCCCCGAGAAAGACCTCTGAGAGCCGAGACAAGCTGGGAGGCAAAGGAGACTTTCCCACAGGGAAGTCTTCCTTTTCCATTACTCGAGAGGCCCAGGTCAATGTCCGGATGGACTCCTTTGACGAGGATCTTGCACGGTGAGATGTAGACCTTCATGAGCCTCAGAGGCTTAGGTGGCCCAGGTGGTGCCTCCTTGAGGGCACTCGGAAACTAGGGCAGGTTCCTTCTGTATTCCTCCCTCCTAGCAAGGCCTATGTGTCACCAGTGAGTGTGTCCTGGGGCACTTGATAAAGAGGTGACTGACTCATCCTTTCAGTCTTTAGCAACTGTTTTTTGGGTCCCTGGGTCCCATCATCTTTTCTAGCCCTTTGTCCATCACGCCTACTACTGCATCTTGTTGCACTTCAAATAAGTTTTAGCCTCTCTTTGCCTTTGCTGCCATCAGGTTCCATTTTTCTATTCTTTGCTTGTTCCCTGGCATCCCTCTTACAGATACTTCATTGTTATGCCCGTCTCTCTGCCCCCTGCTTTGGGGAAGAGTACAGCCAAGGCAACTGGTGTGTGCTTAGAGTAGCATTTTGGAAGTCAGCCTTGAGTGGCTTTCCTGACCTTCATTGTGCCTGCTCACTGAATGGCCTTGGCTGCTTCACCTTGTGAAATACTCTCCCATCGGCTGTGTAGCTTAGAACGGTCAGTGACTCTTAATAGTGGAATTTGTGGTTTAGAAACTGCCTCCTCCCATTTGTTCCTAGTAAAGATCCCCAGTGGAAAATTGGGAACATGGAGAAGTTGAATGCCTTTCTGGCACATTGAGGCTGCTTTTAAAGTTACGTAGGAAGAGAGAGCAGGAAAAAAAAATTGATGGATAGGTCTTTAAATTCCTTGGGGAGCTTCAAAGGTAAACCCCCACCTAATGCACAACACAAAATTCACTTAAATTCTTCAGGGAAACAGAAGTATTGCATTTTTATGGTTTACATATTCTGGCTTCTGTATATCTTGTTACATTTGACCTTTCTTTGTTTTTTTTCCAGACCCAGTGGTTTATTGGCTCAAGAACGCAAGCTTTGTCGGGATTTGGTCCATAGCAACAAAAAGGAACAGGAATTCCGTTCCATTTTTCAGCACATACAGTCAGCTCAGTCTCAGCGGAGCCCCTCCGAATTGTTTGCCCAGCATATAGTGACCATTGTGCATCATGTGAAAGGTGAGTCCAGATGCTAGCCTACTTCAGGTTCCTCTTAACCGAATCTTCAACAGAAGCATAAGTGAGTCAATAGGGAGCCTTTTGGGGACCTTTAGCTCATTTAAACTGCCTATGAGGCTGGGACTGGCTTGGCAATTTCCAGGGAAAATTCACCACTTTTTAATTACAGAACTGAATATTTAGAAACGCTACTAACCTCTGAACATGAGAACAGGTAAAATCTTTGACCTGGCGGTTTTGATTGCTAGAACAGTGAGGAGTTTCCCTTCTCCAGAGCCCCTCTCTTCCTTTTCCAATAGACAGAAGTATCCGGCAGTCTCTTGCAGAGCTTCACCTCAGGTTTAAGCAGCAGCAGGAGTGGGTTAGTGCTGTGCTTTCAAAGGAAGCATGCTCCAAATGTCTATCTTTGTGTCTATGTCCTAAGGCAAAGGAGCTACAACAGAATTCCAGTAGCCAACATTGGAATATTGTGTCTCCTTCCTCTTTTCAGTCCTGTGGAGTTGACTACTTCATGTACATGTCTGTGGTTGCAGGTTCATCTAAGAGTTGCATATTGTGTCCACGTATGGTAACTTAATGTGTGGTGTGTGCGTTTGAATTTCCACAGAGCACCACTTTGGGTCTTCAGGAATGACGTTGCATGAACGCTTTACTAAATATCTAAAGAGAGGAACGGAGCAGGAGGCAGCTAAAAACAAGAAAAGCCCAGAGATACACCGGTGAGGTCCTCAGTCTTACATGAGAGGTTGTAATCAAAGAGCTGGCCTCAGATAGTCAACTCGGTTCTTTGGTGCCACGTTCAGTGCATTAGCAGGGTAGCGCCATCCAGGCTACAAGGAAAAGAGATGCTTTAATGACGGCAGTCTCGTGCTGGTGGCCTTAGGGGAACCACTCTTGATAAACGTATTACCTTGGGGGTTGGCCACATGTTGGCCTTCTAGTCGATTCTTCAGTAGTCTGTTGTTTTTCAGCCTGATGCAGTAGGTAGGAGGACCATCCTTTTGCAGGCAAGTCTCTTAGGGATGTAGTCAGTTTTTCTCACTTTGACTTAATCTCAAAGGGTAATAATGGGCCCCTATTCTGATTCCCAAGATGAGAACTGCTCTTTGAGGTTGCCAGGCATCGAGATTCTTGATGTGATCCTTGGGTGATGGGCGTGGCTGTAGATGGGTGGTTGGGTGGGTCTTGCTGGGAGAGAACAAGTAGCACCTTGAATATGACTAGAAAGTTGGGCAGGAAAGAGTGTGTATGATTTTATAGGCATGTACTCCATAAATATACACACGTAATACAAGAATATATGCAGTGTATCTTTTACATTGTAAAAAGATAATAAATCGGAATGACTAAAACCCACTTCCCTGCTTGAGAATGAGCATTAGCAATACTGTACGCACGCAGTGGAATATTACACCGCTTTTGTGTTTTCAATTTTAGAAGGATAGACATTTCCCCCAGTACATTCAGAAAACATGGTTTGACTCATGACGAGATGAAAAGTCCACGGGAACCTGGCTACAAGGTGAACTGTTGCTTTGATCAGTAATTCCCACAGAATAAGTGCGTTGGGCATGAACTTGACAGAAATGTGTTTGTTTAAATTACTCTCTACTTAAGTTTGTGTTTTTCTTTCAAGGATGGGCATAATTCTAAAAATGAACTACAAAGGGTTAAATTTTTATTAAATGTATCAACAACCTTTGTGAAGTGGTTAGAATATGGTAAATGACCCCAAAGTCTATTGAGGTGAGCTTGAGAAAAAAAAAGAGAGGAGTTTTGGAACAAGTGCCCATGATGAGAGAAGAAACTTTTTGTGATATTTTTCTGCTTGTAAGTATTATCAAATCAATTGTATACATGCACTATTTCCAACCATGATTTCAAAAAGACATGCATGTCAGAAGAGAGTGAGATATTCATTCTTAAATGAGTAGACTGTCTTAAACAGCTAGTCCAGTCTTTTCTAACATTGTACCATATCTGTCACTGATCGGTTAATGTTACTTTAAAGCTTTGATAGCTGGAGGACGCTTACAGTGCTGTGCACGTGAACACTGTTAAACTTGTATGCAGTCTTTTATTATGAAATAGTAGATTTGGGTTTTTTAAAAACCGCTTTTGAACCTTTTGGCACATAAGACACTTGGCATTTAAAATTAGAGATAACTGTTCCCCATCTGCTGCGTTTGTTCCTAAAAATTGTAATTTTCAAGTTTTCCAAACCTATTTGTAGTGTTGGTTGAACTCGCTGAGAGGCCCTCGTCGGTCTTCTTTCCCCGTCAGCCTCTTTCTCTCCAAGTGCCCACCAGCTTGGCCCTAACTAGGCCTGTGATACAAGCACAAGGCTCTGAAGCACCGGAGGAACCTTCAGGCCTCAGAAAGCCAGCTCTTAGAGGTTCTGTCTGGGAGCAGGCTGCATTGTTCATTTTGTCTTTTTGCCCCCCCCCAAGATGCAGAGGCCCCAATTGCTCTCTCCGAAACAGAATAATAGCAGAACAGTGTAAGCCTTCCCACTATCAATCCTGCTGTTAGTTCAAACTCAACTTGAGTAGGTTATGGTAGTAAAATGTTGCTAGTGAGTGGCCTGCTCATTCCCTCCTCTTAGGAGAGGGTTTTTTCCCATGAGAGCAATACTGGTGTGAGATGTCCATGAAGCCACTGGTGTCTTTGCTCTCAGGGACTTCCTGTTCACCACACAGTTTTAAACGCCATTGCTGTGTTGTTAGGGAATAGTATGCATCAAACTGATTATTAAACTTGTTGAAAGTTGGCAGAACTTATTTGTTTTTTTCAGTCTAGTATTACTGCCTTATGAATTCAATATAGTGTTTTAAATACCGTCCTTGGACAAGTTACTCAATTTAGCTCAGCATTTTGGAAGACTAAAGTAGTCTTGTAGCAGTAGCAGGGTAAGTAGGGGAAGGATCGCTAACATGAGCTGTGCTGTTGACCATCTCCACACATGAAGGCCACTGAGCCTAAGCAGCCTCGCCTGCTGCAGCTAGCTGTAGTCATTGCTGACTTTATAGCAGTTTCAAGAGCTCCCTTCCTGGGTGTTTTAAGAGACTGGGCCTTGCTCTGTGGGGGGGTCCTCATGCAGTGACCTCGGTGCTGTGACACGGGGAGGGTATGCCTCTCACCCCCCAGTGCTTCTCTGCACCACCCATTGGAATAGAAACCAGTTAGTGGGGTGGTTGATTTGGCAGCCTGGAATCCCAAAAACCTTCATTTTGACTTCTCTCTTGGCAGGCTGAGGGAAAATACAAAGATGATCCCGTTGATCTCCGCCTTGATATTGAACGTCGTAAAAAACATAAAGAGAGAGATCTCAAACGAGGTAAATCCAGGGATTCCGTGGATTCCCGAGATTCAAGCCACTCACGGGAAAGATCAGCTGAGAAAACGGAGAAAACACACAAAGGATCAAAGAAGCAGAAGTACGTAAGCCCTGGCGGTCATGTCACCCCTGCTAATACTGAGTCCGTCTTGCCGACCTCTCTAGGGCTGTACTCAGGAGGATTTGGCTTAGGAATAAGAGTAACTCATGCACTTGCTTCTGGCATGCAGTTTATCATGTAGGATCCCCGGTGGGAAAGGAACTTGTGACCTTTGTCCATAAGATTCCCTGGAAAATACATCTGGCTAAAGGGCTAGGGGTTAGAATCTTGGGAGTTTACCATTATTTCAGACAGATTCTTGTCAATTTTTCCTGAGGGCTTGTTTTCGAAAGGGCTCGGCATTTGGAGGTGCTGACATGGGTTAGAGGAGTGGGGTGGAACCACACAGGACAGGGCTGTTGATTTTCAGTCATTTTTTAGGTAGTTTCAGATCCAGTTCCAAGAGAGGTTGTTTAAACAAAGGGTGGTGGTGGTAAAGTCTGTAGGGCAACAGACAGGCCAAGACCCTGGTGGGGTTTTTGTGAAAGTTGCATGCCTTGTCAAAAGTGCCTCGTTACAGCGGGCATTGTTGAAGCCCAGGCCCTCCTGTAGAAGCAATACTGCTGCTTCTGAACTTCAGCTGGCAAACATGCTCATAGCCATTTTCTGACAGCCCTTGAGATAGTCCAGCCATCTATTTTCCCATTTGGAAGCTGGAACTTGGCTCAGAATGATTTGCAAGATCATGTGAGTGTGCATTGTCATCAAACCCCGGTGGTGCTCTTCCACCGTCTCTAGCTCTTCTACGCTGGCTGTGTAATGGGAGTCCTGGCAGCTTTCAGAGCGGGGCAGTCCCTGGAGGAGCCCCTGAGACCTCTCTGAGTTGGGGGCTCGTACCCAGCCACGATCCCTGATGACTCGCCCAGGGGCACCTGCCTGTCCCCAGGCTTGTGGCGGACAACATGGACATTCTCTCTCTCTGTAAGGAGCCACTAGAAACAGGAAGATTCAAATGCAGAGGTCTAGCCCTGTGGATTCGTGTACGTGGTTTTTTTATAGTGGGGAAGATAATCTTGAGTCACTGATACTTCCTTGGCTTCTCTGTAGGCCTATCCCCACTGGTAGGACCCAGGCATTAGAGGCAACCTTCACTGTCACACGGCAGTGCGCGCCCTGTAGTCGAGACTGACTCACTGTGTTAAGCTAGTTTGCCCTCATCTGTCATTCCCCAGGTGAAGGGAAGGTGAACAGCGCAGACGTTTCCCCAGATCCTGTGCACACTCTGTTGGGTTCAGTGGGAGGTGGGAGGTGGAATTGTGGTGTAATCCGTCAGTTTGGTTTGAATCCTGGTTCTTCTCAACTGTGCCCCTGAATCTATTATCTGAAAAACGAGGACAATTGTTCAATCATCATTGCCACCAAATATATGCCTACCTTCTGTGGCGGCGTCAAGTGTTTGAATGCATTGCTTATTTACTCGTTAGAGCAACCCCATTGACAGGGCGTAATGTCTTTCCTAGGAGCAACACGTGCTAATGCATGAAGCTCCCAGCGCAGTACCAGGTACAGCTTAGCTTTCAGTGCAGCCTTTCTGCATCCCGAATTGGTTCCTGTGTGTTGGGCTGAGCTATTAAGAAGTCATGGGCTGTTCTATTCCTCCTTTTCTTCATGGCTTGTGCCCATTTTTTGTCTCAGGCACAGACGTGGTACTTGCTACCAAACATGACTGACAGAACCAGGAGGAAGCTGTGTCCTGGTTGGCTTTAGATTATGCATCTTAACGTTTTCTTTTTTCATCACAGACTGCTTCGCGCCCAGGGACCACGTCACACCCTTCCACCCCCACTCCCTCTTGTACATAGGCTCTTTTCTCTCTCTCCAGGAAGCACCGGAGAGCACGAGATCGGTCCCGATCCTCCTCGTCGTCCTCTCGGTCCTCCCACTCCTACAAAGCTGAAGAGTACACTGAGGAGACGGAGGAGAGCTCCACGGGCTTCGACAAGTCCAGGCTGGGGACCAAAGATTTTGGGGGTCCAAGTGAAAGAGGCGGCCGAGCTCGTGGGACCTTTGTAAGACCCTGTCCCCTTCTCTCTGTCCACGCCCCTCACTACCACTGATTCTAGTGGTGCTTAGTGGTGTCACAAGACACCAGTTTGTGGCCTTTAGTAGAAGTAATCTATCTAGTCTACAGACCCCTGGACTTGGTGGTTTCCTCCCCAGCCCCCTAAGCTTTTCCATTTGTTGTTATTTTTCTGTCCATAGTTACTTAACTGGCAAGGTTCTTAGTGGTCTGGTCTAAGAGCTGCCTCGCTGTCTATTGGGTGTGGGGAGAGCCTTGGGCCATGGTGAGGCTATAGACATGAGTTGAGATGAGTTGGAGTGGAATGACTGCAAAGCACTTGTAAACTGGTCTGAGAATGACAGCATATGACTGCCTGCCTGCAGGACAGTGATCCATTCTGTGCCAGGAAAGTCAGAATGCAGGGGATTGTTTTCCTGTACCTCCCACCTGACATGATCCATTGTTCCCATTTATTGCCACAGCAATTTCGAGCCCGAGGGAGAGGCTGGGGCAGAGGCAACTACTCTGGAAACAATAACAACAACAGTAACAACGATTTTCAAAAGCGAAACCGGGAAGAGGAGTGGGACCCGGAGTACACACCCAAAAGCAAGAAGTATTACTTGGTATGTGTTTGGGGTGACCAGGAAGGGCCGCACCTTGCCCCTCTTCTAGCCAGATGACTGGTCAGTCAGTGAGTTCTCTGCTCTGTACTATGTAAACAGCAAGCTCAGATACAAGCAGATGAAATGTGGTTTTTGACTTGTAGCCAAGGTGGAAGGGAGCCCTGGTAGTATAGTGCTTAACTGTAAGGTCAGGAGTTTAAAACCACTAGCCCCCCTTGGAAGAAAGATGAGCGAGACGTTCTTCTCCTGTGGAGTTAGGAGCCTTCTACCCTGTCCTTGGAGGGTCACTGTGCGTTGGTCTTGACTAGGTGGCAGTGAGTGAGAACCCAGGTGGACTTGCAGCTGGATCTCACTCACAAGATGGGTTAGGGTTGGGCTGTCCAGTCTTACATTTGGGACACCTGTCAGGTGGGTGACAGGGTAGGAGCCTTTCTCTTTTCTAGACCTGCTGGAGGCTTGAAGTAAACCTGTCTCTAGGGAAAGGCATTGGCTGAGCCCAGGACAAGTGCTGGAGTAGGGCTGCTGATGGCCCTTCCTGGCCCATGCTTGCCCCTGAAAGCACGGGAACCTAATTTGCTTAGCCTGATGAGAAAAAAGCTGGCAATGGGTGCCACTGACCCCAGGACCCTAAGGCGCTTCCGGAGTAGGGTTTGGAGGTGATGTAATAGCAGTTTCTAGTTTTCAAAATGCTTTACTCATGGTCTTTCATTGAAACCTCCCACTTCTCTGTCTCATGAGATCATCACAGTTATGCTGTCGCCTTATATAAACCTTAGCAAGGACAGCTAAAAGTGGGAGACTGGGTTCTGGTCCTGCCTTAAACACTAGCCAGTTTGAGACCATGAGTAGGCTGCTTGGCCTGCTTTTTGTCGTGAGTGGGCCAGGAGGAACTAGAGCCCCAGCTCCGTTTTCCAAGATACAGTTCCTTGAATTACCTGTTAGCCACGCAGTTGAGGAGGGCATAGTTTTACATTTTGGTGTGATTGGCTTTTTCAAACCCATCCTTTGACGGTAAACCAAGGTCCTTGGGACTTAAAAGTTCCTAACTTTGGTCCATTTAGGGGCGGTTGGGTAGCGTTGGGTGAGGTGAGGCGTTGTGAGGTGGTGCGTGTAACAGGGTCTGCTTTGGTGCTTAGGGAAGGTTTGATCAACAGCTTCCTTACAGTGCCCAAGCTGCTGCATCACCTCTTTGCTCTGAATCCCAGCCCATTTTGAGTGAGGGAGGGAGCAAAGTGGGAGGAGTGACAGACTGGGGCACAGGTTCTTTTGCAAAGGGACATTGGGGTGGGTGGTTGCTGAAGAAGTGAGCTCTCCAATTCACTGTGGCCTTGCCTGTTCTTGTTTCCCCTCAGCACGATGACCGAGAAGGTGAAGGCAGTGAGAAGTGGGTGAGCCGAGGCCGGGGCCGAGGAGCCTTTCCCCGGGGTCGGGGCCGGTTCATGTTCCGGAAATCCAGCACCAGCCCCAAGTGGGCCCATGACAAGTTCAGTGGGGAGGAAGGAGAGATTGAAGACGACGAGAGTGGGACAGAGAACCGAGAAGAGAAGGACAATTTACAGCCTACAACCGAGTAGGGGTCGGGGCCACTCTGATGGGAGCCCCCCTGCCCAGGGAGAGAGAGGCGCTGGGAAGATGGTTGGGGAGGAGTGAAGCAAGAGCAGCTTCCAAAAGATTCGGAAAATCCCTACCCCCTACCCCCCACCCCCCACCAGCAGCCTTGCAGAAACCTACTGCAGCCAGCTGCGTCCCTGGCATGGCATCCCACAGCACAGAGAGGCGGTTGGCCACAGAGCCAGGGTCAGGCCCTGCTCTTAGAACACACCCATGGGGCTGTAGCTGGGATTTGCATTTGCGTTTGTTTTGGTGTGTGGGGTAGGGAGGGAAAGCGCGATGCCTGGATTTTGTTTTATTAGAAGCCAACAGAGTTCTTTTTTCATTTGGAACTAAAGGAAGTAATTTCATTATTTTCATCATTTTTTTCTTGATTCTTGAAAGCTTTTTTTTTTTTAGGCATATGTAGTGATATTAGCAAAAAGATTTAATTTGGGCAACTTTGATTATTAAAACAGAAAACAAAGCATGTGAATAGATTTTGAAGTGTTCACCTCAGTTTGGGACCAAACTGCTTGGATCTTTGTAAAAACTGGTTTTGTGTGTTGTGGAGGAGTTCATGACCTTTCTGACCACCTCGTGTTCGCTCCCCGATGCCCCCCTGCTTCACACACACACACATAGACACACACACACTTCCCCAGCCCCCACAATACCCTTCCATCTTTTCTGGTTTCTTCTGAGCTAGTGGACTGCCCACCCTCCGCCAGCAGCTCTAAACTCTCTAGTCTTGCTGACCCTCTGCAACTGGAGTGGACACTAGAGGGCAGTTTCTGGTCTGTTTTCTAAGAAACTTCCGGATTCTATTATCTTTACAAATATAAAATGAGAAAATAATTTTTCAATATTTTTTATTAATCTTTTTATAAAGAAACTCCTATGATCGATTAAGGAAGATGGTTGTGGTTGGGTGGTTTGTGGGTTTTGTTTTTTGTTTTTTAAAGCTTTAAGTTGGAACATTCTCAGATGTGAGGGGGCGCATCCTCTTGGAGTGGGTCTTGGAGTGGGTCCTATGCTTGCCTTCTGGGGAGGCGGTCCTGAGCAGGTGAACCATATGGCATCGATGCATATGTTATATGCCGACTGACTGCACCCATCTCTTCCTCAACCTCTGCCTCTTGGATTGTTGTGCTACTTTACGCTACTTTGCTACATTTCTATAGTTAAGTTGTTTGGTTTTTTTTAATGATTCATGTTTGGGGTGGGGGTGGGGTGGGGAAAAATACCTTAAAAAATTTGTTTCAACTCCTCCTGCAAATAAAATTAAATAAATGAAGTGGCAGATGTACAAGGACTCTGGTCATTGTTGCCTGAGTGAAGGGTATGCTTGTGCGGGCGTGCCTGTGTGCGCGCGCGCCTCTTGGTGCGTGTGTGGGTGAGAGAGAGAGAGAGAGTGTGTGTGTGTGTGTGTCTCTGTCTTTCAGGGAAACTGAAGGACAGTGGAGGTGGGGGGCGGAAGTGATGTCAGCCCCCTCACCAAAGTCCATGGCTGCCTGGGAGGAGCCTGGCTTGTTCCTGTTAGCCAATCATCTCTCTCCTAACCATTGGTTTGGTACGGACCTTCGACCCAGGAGTGCCAGCTTTTCTGTTGTGTGCCGTGGACCAAGGACTTTGGCTTCCTGGTGGGGCAGGGAACAAGGGGTGTGGGTGACCTGGCTCAGCCCTGTAGGCTCACTACAGAACAGATTACCTCAAAGGTAGTCTGGGCCCAGGTGGGGGCCCCAAGCTTCAGACCTTCACCAGCTTGGCTGTGAGCAGGCAGGCTCCATGGAAGGAGCTGTTAAATTCCTTGTACCTGCCTTCTCCCAAGGAGAATCCAGAGGTGTCTTCTGAAACCCTATTACATAGCCCAGTGTGGGCTGTCGATTGGCACTTAGGCAGTGGCAGTGCTCCGTAGACTGGGAATACATAATCTCTGTGCAGATCCTGCCTAGGAGCCCCACCCTGGTATGTGGATTTCCACACCTGCCCCTGCAGCTAAAAGCTTGTGATCTGAGAGCATAAGGTGCGCCGGGAAGGCTCTGTGCAAAAGGTGGGCGGCAGCCTTGGGGCTTAGGCTGGGAGGCAACCAGACTAATTTAGGTGAGTGAGCGGGAAGAGTTTAGAGGTGTGACCCCAGCCAGGGCCAGGAACTTGGAGTACCTGTCCCCCGTGGGTAGGGGGGCCGAACCTGCTGAGCCGGCCCTCTTCTCCCCCACCCACGCCCAACACCTGGAACCCGACCTATCGCCTCCAGTCTCCACCTCCTCTGCTTCCCTGCAGCCCGACCCGCTCTCCCCGAGCCCAGTACTGGGCTGCCAGCGTGACTACGCTGGGCGGGCGACCCAGCCAGCTTCGGCGAGCGCCCCGAAGCCATGGGTATGTGCCCGGACGCCTCCTTGTTACCATCCCCTGGATGTGGTAACGAGCCCACCAGCAACACCCCGACACCACCACCCTCCCCCCACCAAGCCCTGGACTCCGAGCGAGGCTGCCCCGCCTGGCCTTGCTGAACCGCTCGGTCCTTTGCCCGCAGAGGTCCTAGTTTTGTACGGGTACCACGCGCAGGAGGAGGGCGAGCTGAGCCTGGCGCCTGGGGATGTGGTCCACGAGGTGCGCCAGGGGTCAGCGCAGGGCTGGCTGTGCGGCGAGCTGCGGGGCCGCTGCGGCCTCTTCCCCGAGCGTCTAGTGCAGGTAAGGCGAGGCCCGAGGGGTGCCGAGGGGCCGCGCGGAGCCCGGGACCTGAGACCTCCCTCGCCGGTGGCCTCTTCCCTAGGAGATTCCGGAGGACCTGCGAGGCGCCGCGGAGGCGCAGAGACCGCGCTGCCCGCGCCGCCAAGGTGAGCTAGGGGCCCGTCGGCCGGGCGCTGAGCCCGCTCTCCGCCGCCGCCCCGCCATGTGGCCGGGCCGGTTGTGGGCGGGGCCTTGGGGCTGCACTCTGCCTTCTGATTGGTCCTAGCGTACAATGCTCCACTGTAGGGCGGGGCCTGGAGGCTCTGGGTACGCTCAGGGCCCGCCCCTCCTCCAGCTCTGCGGACAGGGGCTCCAGGCGGCAGCTGCCACGCTCTCCTCTGACACCAGGTCACCTCACTAAATCTTGGGGCTCCAAAAGATGGTGCAAAGTGAACTTCAACTACAGCCCAGAGCAGGCGGACGAGCTGAAGCTGCAAGCTGGGGAGATAGTGGAAGTGTTAAAGGAGGTGAGGGCTTGAGGTGCCCAGGGCGCTGAGAAGGATGAGGGGCGGAGATGCGGGAAGTGAAGCAGGGGAGGAGGGGACCCTGGGGCAGAATTGGAGCAGAACCAAGGGGAGTCCGTTTTAGAGAGCCTGGGGGCAAAGCCAGATGCCCCTGCGTCCTCCCCTCCTCCCCAGATTGAGGACGGCTGGTGGCTGGGGCAGAAGAACGGGCAACTGGGAGCCTTCCCATCCAACTTTGTGGAATTGCTGGACAGTGGGCCCCCAAGTGAGACATGGATCCTGCTGCCCGTGAACCTTGTGACCTATTCTGCAATCTCCAGTGACCCGAACCTGTGATCCACACAACCTGACCCGGGACCCCTTTGCCCCTCTCCCATGATCTAACCTGTGAACTCACACACCCCACCTAACCTTATTGTCTCCTCCCCACCCACTCCAGGCCGCGATCACCCAGCCATGCCTTCAATCAGCCCTTATCCCCGGCGGCCTCCCAAGGTAAATTGAAACCGGGTGATGTTGAGGTGGCAGGTAACCCCGAAGGTGGCCGGAGACTCAGCTTGTTCCTCCCTCTCCCCGCCCCCACTAGCTGAGCAGCCTGACTTATGACAGCCCTCCAGATTACCTTCAGACAGGTAAGTGCTCAGCCGGAATGTTTGAAATAGGTTAAAATGTAAAGACACACATCCTCACAGACCCCTGGACACATACACAGAGCTGTGTGTTGACACATGTCAGACACATGAGCATACCCCTACCCCTGACTTGAGCCAGGGGTCCGGGGGCGGGAGCTGCTTACTGCTGGAGGAGCCTGTTGGCTTGAGTGGACTGACCTCCCCTCAGTCCCCCACCCTGAGACCTACAGGATCCTGTTTGACTACCAACCCGAGGCCCCAGACGAGTTGGAGCTGCGAAGTGGGGACATGGTGAAAGTACTGAGGAAGGTAGGAGAAGCTGAGGGCAGGGGAGGGTGGGGCGGGCCGGCCCAGGAAGGGGGATCCTGGAAAGGGGGGGGACCCAGAAGAAGAGGACCCTGCGGTGACCTGGCTCGCCTTCCTCCCCAAGACCACAGAGGACAAGGGCTGGTGGGAAGGAGAGTGCCAGGGCAGGAGAGGAGTCTTCCCAGACAACTTCGTGCTCCCCCCGCCCCCCGTGAGTAGACCTTACAATCAGGTGGCCCTTGGGTCCGGTCTGAGGGGCTTGGGGCCCCTAGAAACCACCAGGGGGTAGGGTGGTCCCTGGGCCCAGCTGGAGGGTCACCCTTCGGAGAGAAGACACCTAAAAATGTTGGCCACCTCTTCAGAGTCTGATATTTCCTTTCTGCATAGATCAAGAAGCTTGTCCCACACAAAATGATGTCTCAGGAATCAGGTGGGTGCCCGGGAGGCCTGGATTGGGAGGAGCTCTTTGGGAGGCCTGCCAACTAAAAATGTTCACTGCCATGCCGGCTCATAGCGACCCTATGGGACAGGACAAAACTGCCCCCTTGTGACTTCCGAGACTGTAACTCTCTATGGGAGGAGAAAGCCCCGCCTTTCTCCCGAGGTGTGGGGCTGCCCAGTGTGTAACCAGTCAGTTATCTGTCAATGCCCACAGGTTCCCACCAGCCAATACTCGATCACCCCGATAGGAGCTCCTGACGCTCTGGCTCCAGGGCCTGGTCCGGATGTCTGTGTGTCATTGTGTGTGAGTGTGGCAATGTGTGTGTGCTATAAGTTCATGTTCCTGTGCGTGACTTGAGGCTGGGGCTGGCAGCATGTATCTGCCGTGTGTCAACACACAGCTCTGTGTACGTGTCCAGGTGTCTGAGGATGTGTGTCTTTATACTTTAACCCATTTCAAACTTTCCACAAATACACATAAGTGCTAAAGTTAACAGGGAAGAGCTGCGGTCTGCCACACGAGCCCACAGACTAGAGGTGTTTGGTGGCCCTTGTCTTCCATTCTGCTACTTGGCCCACCCAAAAAGTGACCAGCATTTGGTGTGCACAACTCACTGGGGTTGGTTTGCTTGTTTGAAACATGTGGCTGTCCATCACGTCATTTCCTGCTTGTTTCTGAAATGTGTAACCCGGTATTCTGGATCGTCTGCTGAGACGTGGCTGGGTCAATCAGTAGTATGGCTCCATGGTCGTGGGTGTAGTTGTAGTGTCTTTTCCTGCTTGTGTGTTTTCCTACTTGGGAATAGGTCAGAATCCATGTGTCTGTTCCAGTCTTCGATTTGCTCCGACAGGCGTCCTGCCGTGACTATTCCTGAGCTTCCCTTTCCGGGGCTGGAAGTACGGGCCTGGCTCATGTCCTCGCCTTTGTGGAGACTCTGTCTTTGACAGATTGGGAGTTTCCAGCAACCCTGAGTGGAAGGAGTCCATTGGCACCGTTTCTCTCACGGCACGTCTTCACGTTGTGTCTCTGTGTCGCCGTGAGGGATTTTCCCAACCGCTCAGACTTTTTCATCGTGATAGTGTAAGCTTAGTAAGCTGCATACGGTAGACAGTGAATTTAGCTTTTCTATGCACTGGGAAACCAAAGCAGTGAGGAGGACTCATGCCATTCCATATCTGTTTTATTGTGATCACTGGGGACTGAGCTCACAATGCCTGTGCAATCGGTGCTCCAGGGGATCACACTTGGGATGACACTGCTGGATTGTAAAGAATGTGAATTCAATTTGTGTGAGCTAAAATTGGTTTCCAAAGTCACTGTATCCTTCATCATGTCACCATTAATGCATAAGAGATCCTATTGATCCACATCTTAGACTATCTTTTTCTCCCTCCATTTCAACCTTTAATTTTCTTTCTTTTTTTTAAATAAAGCATTTT